AAGCCACCTCATCATGTCTTCCTGCAGCGGGGGATCAATGTACCCCCCCCCCCCCCCCCCCCCAGGAGGGGGGATGCGACTCTCCTTCCGATTTCTGTTGTCAGGTTGGCTGCCGCTAGTCCGAGCCTGCGGCGTGACCCCTCCAGGGTAGCGGACCCCCACCTGTTGCCATCTTTCGCTAGCCCGCCTCGCCAGGGAGCTGGGGACCCCCGTGGCTTCAAACGCACGCTCGAGTGTGGCCCTTCCTTCTTCTGTCGCTGTACTCCATATGAAGGGCACCGCCAATCGACTCCATGTCATGTTGGGTGGAATGTTGTCGTTCGCAACCTGGGTGCGGATGTCCTGGATTTCTTGTAGCACTCGCCTGGCGTTCCCTTCACTTCTGCGAGGTGGGAACGCTGTCGGACTTGGCGTTGGGGTGCTCGCGGCGCGTGCGTCGCCATCCCTTCTTACGTTGCCCTGTTGGCGATCTTCTCGGGCTACCGGGGCCCCGATTCCTCTCGCTCTCGTCCGCAGGACTATCGCCAATCGCAGAGCCTCCCCGCGCGGGGTTCCGGGGACCAGGCTATATGCTACTAATCTCCCGCTGTCCGTGGCGGCCGCCACTACGGCTCTACGCGCCACTTCAGTAGCTTCAATCGCCTCGGGGCTTGTGTCTGTCGCCCATGTCCTGTCTGCCGGAGTGATGGCGAAGGCCTGATCAATGAACGTGCCTCCAATTTCTCTTCGGAGCCATTCCACGTCTCTGGCCTGGAGGCCTTCGAAGCAGTGTTGGCACCTGGTCCTTGGGCCCCGCGTGCCCTGAGTCGGGCCTCTCGCTGCAGGGGGTTGTGCCGGCATGTTGGCGGCGGGGGCGCTCAAGAGGCATCTCTGGGCCCGCTCGCGAAGCCGGCCGCCGAGGGGGTGCTGTCGCATCGCGTGCTGGATGTGCGTCGTCGCCTCTATAGCCCATTCCATTGGTGCACAGCAGAGCCTTTGGCCGGCCGCTGCCCAGAGCGCCGGCTCGCCCCATGGCCCTGGCGTGCCGGGCATTCGTCCTTCCGGCAGGCCACGCCCCCCGTGGTTCTCCATTTCGACCTCCGCCATGTGGCGCCATGCTGCGAGGAGCTCTGATATCAGCCAAGACGGAGAGAAATTGGTGGTCTCTGACGGGCGACGCTCGCTGTCGATGTGGCTGGCGACGGGGGCGTAGCGAGCCCCCACCCTGGCCAGCTGGAACGTGAGCCTCGTGCCCAGCAGGTCCAGGGGGTGGCTGGGAGCTTCCAGCTCGGTGGTGGGAGAGCTGTCCGTGTCGGTGGCCCATGCTGATCCTAGCCTGCGACACACGCTGCAGCTACTCGTGTCCTGCCCCATATACCAACATCCACAATTTCCACATCTGCCTTTGGGATGCAAGAAATCCCAACTCATGATCATTTGGGAGGTGCTGTTTACGGGCCAAGGTCCGGTCGGATTGTCGCCTTCAAAAACTCTGGGCCCCCTATGCCAGGGGGCTGTGGTTCAGCGCTGTGAATAGCTGGTATAACCCACCCGTCGCGGCCTAGGCCCTGTTGCGGTGTTGAGAGGACACCTGTAACAGCCTCGACCCAGTGCCCTCTGCTGATGGCCCAACGTCGGACTTCGCTGCGGTCCGGAAAGTGCACGGTATTGCGGCGGTGCTCGTGGACTAGACGTTTGCAGAATTTGGCCTTTCGCTCCAAGTTCGCGTCAGTAGGTCCATTGTCCGCCGCATCGGGCGCAGGGCCGTGCCGACACCTCGACATGCCGAGGAGGGTTGGGAGAAAGATCTGGTCCTTGGGTTCGCACGCCCCTATGTCCACGTAGGGGGCAGCGTGGTATAGAGTGTCGCATTCCGCTTCCGTCGCTAGGGTTTCCTCCTGTGTAGGCGCATGAACATATTGCATGTCACCCCCGATGCCCGGGTCTTGTGCGAGACTGGCACAGCGGAAGGCAAGCACCTGAACAGGGCCTGGCCCGACTCCACCCAGCCTAGCCTCGTGATCGGAGCCCGCGCTGGACTACGCCAGCCATGAAAGGTCCAGGTGAGCCATGGCTGACGCGACGCTGCGGATGCTCCCTGTGCCCCCCCGTTCCGTTTGGTTCCTGTCGGGCCGGTCGTCTCCACCTGCCGCGGGGGAACCGACATTTCCCGGGGGGTGCCGGAGCCAGCATCGGCTTATCAGCCCAACCAGTCCTTCTCTCATTACTTGTCTGCGGGGGGAGACCCTGCGCATCCTCCATGGCCCGCCCCTAGGCTCGTGCCGCTCGAGAAGGGCTGAGAGGGGGCCTCCCCTCATGGTATTCCTAGGGTCCATCGCTGTGGGGGCCTGGCAGGGAGCGTCGACATTACGAGACACTTCCCCTCCTGGAGGCGGAGGAGGCCCAGACTGGGGGCCTTGTCCCCCATGTCCGCGATTGTCCTCTCCTCTTGCGGGGCTGCGCGCCCCTGCCCTTCCAACTCGGGATGACCAGATGCCTGGCGGGGGGGAGGTTGGGCTGTGCTGACCCCACGCGTCCGAGTCCGAGGTGCTTTCATCGTCGGCACCCCAGTCGTATGCCTCCTCAAACGGGAGTCTATCGTCTTGCTCGTCTTCTCCTGGGTTCGACTCTTCCCGAGTCTGTCCCTGCCTTATTACCATGGCCGTACTCCGCTTCGTGCTGCCCCTCCCCGTCCGCGCTGTCCCCCCTCGGGCACGGTGGGGGTTATCTCAAGGTCGTCCCCCGAGTCAGGCACCGGGATGGCCGCAGCTCGCTCCACGGCCGCTTCGGCTCGGGGGAGCCAAGCTGTGAATGCAGTGTGGGAGGGCTGTGTCCCTCCCCTCTGCGTGGCTCCAATATAAGTGGTATTGCCCACCGCTGCTACCTCGGGGGGTACGGGCATGTGCGCCTCGGCGTCACGGGGTGGTCTCTGACCGTGGCCAAGCCATCCTGCGTCTCGCGAGGGGGAGAAGGAGGGGAGGTGCAGCCGATAGCCGCTGGATCAGGTAAGTCGCACGCAACGGGAGGATGAGAGAGGGGGGAAGCGTGGCCGATAGCCACGTTCACTGGTGAAGTTGGAAGGGGAGAAAAGGAGGCGCAGCCGATAGCCGCTGGATCGGGTAAAATGCGCGGAGATGGGGGGTCACCGTCGGGGGACGCTGGTCCTCTACTCGCGGACTCTCTGGCGTGGGGCCGTGGGAGAGCCGTCTCCGTCCTTGACGGCGCCCCCCCGGCGCTGGACGCCCCGCCAGCCAAACCCTGGCCGACCTGCCACATTCCAGGTGACGCGGCACGTGACTCCTGCACATCAGGGGGATGAGAAGAGGAGGAGGTGCGGCCGATAGCCACGGCAACTGGTAAATCACAGGAGGAGAAAGGGGAGCATTGACGCCTCGATCCGCGCCATCCTGAGGAGGGTCAGTGTCCACCCTTGCCGGGGGGGAGGCTCTGTCGTCGTCGACTGGGCAAGCTTCCAGAGCTGCCTCCCGAGCCTGCTCCCCATCCCTATTTCCAACCGTTGTAGACCGAGGTGTGTCCGCTGCTCGCGTCCATTGCGGGCCGTCCGCTCCAGAGCGGGGGGAGGCGGGAGGTGTAGGGGGGAATGGGATGCGTTCAGGGTTCCTCTAAGGGACGCGCCCCTCCACCAACAACTGTAAGTCTTCTTCCCCCTCGCGCCTCGGGGGTGGTCTTGGATCCGTGTTCGGTGCTGGCTCGTCCTCGCGTATCGGCGGGGGCTGCTCACTCTGTGGGGGAGATGTCTCCATTGGTGCCAGTACACAGTCTCCCGTGCCGCGTACTGCTGGATCAACATCTCCAATCAGTCCATGGTGCGGATCAGCCATCGCCTGCGCCGCCTGTTGGGGGGAAAGCGGCTCTGGGCTGGAGGTAAAACGGCGTCCGGGCGCCCCCTTGAGCGGTGGGAGATTGCCCCGAGGGGAGCAGGCCCACCAGACGGCTTGAGCCAGGCTACGGACCATTGGGGATACGCGAAGCAGGCGCGAAGCAGCAATAATTTGCCAGAAACTACACATGCCATGCGTAGGAAGGCTGAGGTCCCAGAGGTGGATCGTCCCGCTGCTGCCTGAGAGCGTGCATGTGCCAGCTCCTTGGGTAGAAGAATTCGGCGACAGAAGCGTTAACGTTCCAATCAAGTGTGAACTCTTGCCTACTCCAGTGTATCAACTGTTCTATCAAGATGCTTGCGAAGGCGAAAGCGGAAGCAAGGGTCCCCACACCCCTGTCCACTAGCGAAGCGACCAGCAGATTGAACTCGCCGCGCAAAAAGTGAGTGAGATCGAAAAAGAGGACGTGATGGAGGGAGGAGGAGGAGGAGGAAAAGGAGGAAGTGCAGCTTTCGGAGGGCTTCCGAGGAGCGTCCTCCTCCATACATCTATCCTGCAGATCAGAGCATGTTCCACCCTCAAAGTGGTGGCTGGAAGAACATAAAATCCAATAATATCGGCGGTGGACAAACCTCCCTTTAGTAAACCTCCCCTTAGTGAAAACGGCCTGGGACCGAAACCGACGGGCCTGGACCCGCAAACATGACGGCCGCGACGCCCTCTCGCGAACCGAAAACGGCCAACTCGCTAATCGACGTGTCAGGGTAGGAGGTCGATCCACCCCCGAAAAGTGGTGGCTGGAAGAACATCAGATCCAATACCGCTGCTCCTGCATCTCTGCCAGGGTGAGTTCTGACCGGGATACCAATGGCGAATCGGGCAGTGGTGGCGAGGTCCACCCGCGAGGCCAAGAAAGGAGAAAAGGCATCGGTATCGGTGGACATGTACGTTTTACTCGCCAAAGAATTATAGACGTATCCCAACTGACTGCCTACCAGACCACCCCAACCCAACCCGAAGACCCCAACTTCGGGTTGGGGGGGGGTACGGGTTCCATATGTTTTTTAGTGTTCCCCGACCCCCCCCCACTGGAAATGGAGGTCAAATTGAGGCCTTCGGGTTGGGTTGGGGTGGTTTGGTGGGTGGTGGACCAACGAACTCCCGCACTCGGGTGAGAACTCGGTGGTCATGACGTCCGAGCCAGGCTCGTACGAGAGGTTCAGCACCATCCCGGACACGAGCTCGAGCTCCCCGCGCCACCTGAGGCGTTTGGAGCGTCGGGGTGGTTCTTGGAAGGATGTTCGGAGACCAGTGGCACATGAGCGGGTGGCATGCGTGCGATTGGGCGACGTGGGCGCGGGAAGCTGTTACCGCGCCTGCGCTGCCCAACGCGGGCTTGGAATGCCCGGTCGCGGAGTTTTTGCAAGTGGCCGACGCACCCCTCCGCCGCGTCAACGGACGCGAATCGCCCTTCCCCCCCAGCCCCCTCGCCGCCCCCCGCGAGGGTCTTATCGAAGTGCCGTGGAACATGCAGTTGTCCAGCTAACTTTTTAACAGCCGCGCAATACTCTTACGATTGTTCGACCACCCGTTGTCGGTCGTCGCCGTCGTCGCTCCTCCTCGTGGCGCCTTACACATACAGTCGTCTTGTGGCGGCGTTACAGAAGGATTGATTGCGGCGGCCTTATGTGTTTTTGGAGCTCTGATTGATGAGGCCGTTGTGTTACAGCGTGTTGGAACTCCGATTACTGAAAACGCGGTGTCCGCCGAAACAAATGCACGCATCCAACACCAAAAGGATTGAAAGCACATAAGATATCACAGTTGTGTTGGTGGTGGTGTTGCCTTGCACTTCTCCTGTATCCATTACAAAATGGAGGATGCTTATAAGGCCACCACAAAGGATTCCGAGTGCGAGGTCTCCACAAAGCGAATCCTTTTGCAAAGCAGCCATGGAAGATAATGACTTCCGAGGGCAGCCACACAAGCACATCGCTGTGCAAGGCCGCTACAAAAAAAGTATACAGTTGCAAGGACGTCGCAAAAAAATGTTAGGTGAATGCCGCTGCGGACGGCACTATAATGCAACGCCGCCACAAAAGTAAGTCTTTTATCAGGTCACCACATACATGTTGGCTTTGCAAGGCCGCCAAAAAACTTATCACTGTGCAACTCCGCCAATGACAGAAATATGCTGTACGGCCGCCACAGAAACCGATATGTATGTAATAGCTTGTCCCGTCCGTCTTTGATGTGGTGTTGTGCCTACGGTCCGTGCCCCGGCGCGCACTACGAATGCTCTTCCTCATCTCACTCCTTTCCCTCGTTGTCCTCGTCCTCGCATCATTCATCCTCCTCCGTCTCTGCATGCCTCTCGTGATCCCTTCCCACCCCAGTCTAGTGCAAAGCCGCCGCAAAAGGAAATTCGTTGGAAAGGCTGCCACCGCAACCACGAAGGGACTCATTTTCGAACGCAACCACGTCAGGACAGATTGTTGTCAAGCCGCCACAAAGAGAATAGGTTGTAAGGCCGCCACAGCGAACAAAGCATGGTGTAAGGCCACAACAAATCCTTTACAAGGCCACCACAAAATAAATTCAGATTGTAAGGCCGTCGCCAACGGAAATAAATTGCAAGGCCGCCACAAAAATCAGAGCTTCCCATGTTTCCGCAATCATATAGTGGTGTTGGGCCTTCCTGCTTTCATACTCCCCCCTCCCGCTCCTCCCTCCTCTCTCATCTTCCTCACGCGCTTCATGGCCCCATAGGGAACTCCACCGAAGGCCCCAGTGGCACAAAGTTCGCATGCGGTTCCCCGCCCATTTCGGCACACCCCTCGCACGTTTTGTGGCCCTGTGGCCCCATAGGGAGCTCCACCATGGTCCCAGTGGCAAAAATCGTGTGCAATTTCCCGCCCGTTTCGGCACACCCCTCACACCGTCCGCGGCCCCATAGAGAGCTCCACCGAAGGTCCCAGTTGCAAAATTCGCATGCGGCTTCCCGCCCATTTCGGCACACCCGTCAAACATTTCGCGGCTAAAGTTTACATACGGTTCCCCGCCCATTTCGGCAATCCCCCACCCAACACGTTTCGCGGCCCCCACAGAGCTCCACCGAACGCCCCAATGGCAAAAATCGCATGCAATTCCCTGCACATTTCGGCACACCCGTCAAACGCTTCGCGGCCCCATAGGGGGCTCCACCGAAGGTCCCAGTTGCAAAGTTCGCGTGCTGTCCCCTCACACGTGTCGCGGCCCCATAGCGAGCTCCACAGAAGGCCTCAGGGGCAAGATTCACATTCGCTTCCCCGCTCATTTCGGCACACCACTCACACGTTCCGCGGCCCATAGGGGGCTTCACCGAAGGCCAAAATGGCAAACCTCGCATGCAGTGACCCGCCAATTTCGGCACACCCCTCACACGGTTTGCGGCCCCATACTCGCCATCGCTCGGACGTCCATTCCCCGTGCATGTTTCGATTTCGTGCGCGTTGGTTCCTCGATGATCCAGGATGCTCCTCGATGGTCCTCGCCGAGAAGAAATTCACACGTCCGAGCGATGCCAAGCCACTCGCCCCCGAGTACAAGCCCCCCGTCTTGTTTGTACCAAAACTCCCGATCAACCGCAGACCGGCCGGCTAGTAATCAAGGGCTCCCAACTTCGCGCTTCGCGCTGCGC